TTTTTTTTTTTTTTTGTGATGTACTCATTTATATCTTGGTCTTCCTAACTTCCTAAGGATAATTATATATAGATACACACACACATGCACATATATGTGTGCATATGTAAACACACTGGTTAGATGGGAAATATCATTTCAGATTACATGTAAAAGTAATATGGTGATAATGAGAATCTAAATGTCTACTTCTCATCATTGAGTTCATTAATCAGTTGGAATTTAAACCCAAAAATATAACCATGTATTTTTCAGAGATTGCTTTAATTGTTGTTAAAGGATCCATTATTCATCAAAGCATTACTAAAACAGATATCTTTTAAACTAAATTATTATATTAGCTATATTAATTTTTAAAATTAATGTAAAATGTAGAAAAGATCAAAATAGTTTGGAGGCCCACCTCATAGCTAAATCCATATCATGTCAATCTTGAGAAGCAAAAAAACTTTTTATGTATTTTTTAAAAATGATAGGAACCAATACCTATACTCCTCTTGTGTGAAGTGTGGGATTTCTCCAGGATGTAAGACAAGAATTTTCACCGTGGCACTGCTGGACATCACTGGCTCACCATCATCGAAAGCAACAACCACCAACTTAAAAAGTGATAATAATCATGTTAAAGATTAATAGCAAGAAGAAAATAAAAGTATCACTGTCACAGGTATATTTCTAACCATTGGAATGCAGGCGTCCAGAATGAGGAGCAATGATTATTTCTTCACTGCTTACCAGGTAGCAGATACTGTACTAGAATATGTTACATATATTCTCATTTAATCTTCACAACAATCCTGCTAGCTAGATGTAATTATTTTCATTTGCCAAATGAAAAAACTCAAAGAAGTTACTAACTCTATGATACAAAACTACCAGTGAAAGTGTTTTTTGACACTTCATCTCTCTAATCATAAACTCTTTTCTATTTCCAAAGTTCCATTGGTGTCTACAGTAAAAACATGTGTCTTTGTAAGTACCAACACACTTATTTAAAAAGTGTTAAATTCAGTCACATCTTTAGCAAAATGCTAATTTACTTGCTTATAAAAAGAAATTAATTTTTCCAGTGAATTAATTGTCTGCAGGATTATAAGGCAGAAATACTTTACTCTGGAGGATAAAATGTAGAAGCCTTTACAGTTTAAAAACATTTTGATGTACAATCTCTTTTAAAAACGTTAAAAATATATAAAACCAAGTTTTGCTGTATAGCAGAAATGGTTCAAATGATGCAAACTGAAGAAAAGCTTAAGCCTAAAATTTTAAGATGTGATATCTTATGTGATATTTATTATTGAAATAGCTTTTACAGTTGATCATTTTTTTGATAACCTATATTTTATCAAAAAAGACTTCTAATGTTTATTTTTAAGAAATGTCAAATATTTCCAAAAGCATATTTTTCTCTGGGATGTATATTATTTCGGAAGCTGCAGGTTATTAATCTAAATGAATTCAACATAGGTCTGGAAGACCCTAACCAAGGATCATCCTGATAACCTCAATTTATCTTTGAGTAAATACGAGTTTACAAACAGAAAAATTATTAAAATCAGAAATAAAATCATGTCAGACACAGGCTCACTGACATTCACAAGGTCAACCGATGCAGATATTTCCCCAGTATAGCATCAAAGGCCTTATTCACAAGTGAACAAACTATTCTAAGTAGCTATATAAAACTGAAGCACTGAAACATTTAATAAAATAGATTATTTAATTTATGATAATAGATAATATTTTTCAATGTTTTTGACGTGCAGAAACAGGCATTATTTTTTCAACTATATTAAAAGTATGTGGCAGAGAGAAGAGGTAGTATGTTCATTTCCACTGGTAATTAAAGAAGAATGCGATCTAACAAAATCTAATATATACATATTTTCTCTAGTAGATATGCAAAGATTAAAATCAACAATAATACCCGGGGTTGAGTGATATTAGAAAAATGGGTTCTCTTCTGAAAGACTGAGAGCACATATTAGAGGTTAGTATTATTTCTAATTTTCAGGACACACAGTATGTTAAGAATACGTGAACTTAATGCAGCAATTCTGCTTCTAGATACTTAAGGAAAAAAATGGACAAGTGAACAATGATATTCACACAAGGTGGTTCACGACAATGGAGTTACTATTACAAAAAGTTAGAAGTGCCCTAAGTGTCCAACAACAGGTTATTAAATTATTAGTTTATTAGATTAAAATGAAAAATCATGGTATATTCATATAGTAGAATACCATGTAGCCATTAAAATAATAGCATCAGTGGTATTTATTGGCATGGACAATAATATATTATTAAATTCATAAAGCAGCACAAATAATATGATTATGTCATTTCCAAACATATACTTGTTTGCATGTATTTGAATGGGACATCATCATGAGGATAGAAAATTTAAAAAGTAAATTCTAGTTATCTCCAAGATGTGAGATATCAAGTGATTTTTTTTGGCTTTTTACTTAACTGTATTTTTAAAGTTTCTATAGGTTATACACGCATTCTTTTATAATTTAAAAAATTTAAAAATGGAGAAAAGAGCTAAGATATATGGTCATTCATGAAACCAAACTCTTAATCAAAATTTAAATAACAAAAAGACAGCACAGGAATAATGATACACTGACCTTAAAAATTGTAGTAGGTTCTTCATTAAGATTGACTCGAGTTATTACCAGTCCAGAATCTTCTTCTACATCAAAAATACTGGCAGGGTAAGGAAACTGAACATCATCTACTCTATACCTCACACGGCTTGCAGGTAATCCCTAAAACAAAATTATTTATTATTACATTACACTCATAAAATGAAAACAAAAGGTAGTAAAAATGTTAAACTGATTTGTAAAATGTATGGCCCTTTAACAGTGAAAAATCACACTTCTTGATTTTATACTTGCAGATTGAAGAATATTCATTGCTCTGGGATGACTCAGTCTGAATCAATGAAGTGTCTTTATTACAGATTGCTTGAACATGATTTATGTGAGAGGAAAAAATGAAGATCACCTTGGGCATCTTCTCCTTCCACTTTCCTTTCATTATATGAATCACGCTTTCTTCCCAAAACAACCTGTGTCTCTTAACTATTTTATCTTCTGAGACAATCATAACTTTATTTTTTTAATCCTTATTTGAGCTCTGTCTGAGATACTCAGAATAATGAACTGTGGAGGATTGTGGTAAATTGGAGAAATGGACTTTAAAATGAAAGAAGCTAAAGTTATTTACTGTCTATGCCAATTCTCTTGTTAAACGTTTACCTAAATCACTTAAATTAATCCTCACAATAATCCTTTAGGATAACTTTAATAATGATGATGATAGTAATGCTAGTAAAATAACGATAGCTAGCATTTGCTTAATGCTTACTATGTGTCAGGAACCGTACTAAACCATACTAAAAATGATAAATTTTTACTTTTACATCCATTTTATAGCTAATGAACTTGAGGCTTGTTGAGAGTTAAAGAATGCTGAATTGTTCCAGACATAAGCAAGATAAGCTGAAACACAAAGAAAAGTAATGCATTTTTAAAGAAAAAATTAATTGATTTTTCTAAGAATCAAAGGGTTTTAGGGTTTTCATTGCCTGATTGTCGGAAGTATATGAGCCAGGCCTTTCTTCCTAGTCTGTCTCAGTCCGGAAGCTCTGCTGAAACCTGTTCAGTAACACGGTAACACACAAACTTCCACGGAGAGACAAGTGGCGACCAGGCTTGAGATACATTAGCTGGGAATCAAACTTGAGGTTTCCACATGGAAGGCAAGAGTTCTACCCCTGAGCCACCACTGCCCACTTTCAGTGCTTAGAGCCTATATATCTCTTAACCTTGTCTTAGAAGTAAGTGGTAGAGTTTGATGTCAAACCCAAACAGACCATCAATATTAAAGGAAAAAAGGAATATTTTTACAAAAGAAATTATTCTTTAAAGTGTTTATTACTAGACAATAAATTCATTTTCTATAGCACCTACAAATTGTGACAGAATCACGCTAACACATAAACACAGTCTAAAAAATTGTTTCCTTAAAGTTTACGTAAATGGAAAACTAGGCTGTGGTTAGATTTATCATTGGCAAGCAAATGATTTCTCTGGTCAATGAAATTGACTGGTCTCTGTTTAGGTCCAGAGAGACCTTGGGAGGTCATTAGTTATCTCCCTGTCATCAGAAACAACCACTACTAAGCCATGCATTCAGATATGTTTTAAAAGGTTTTAGAAAAAAAACAAAACAAAACGAAACAAAAAGCTTTCATAACATTTCTAAAAACTCAATGTAGCATTTAAAGACTTTGCCAATCAGAAAGACTCTTCCCTATATGTAAACACGTGGTGAAACCAAATCTCGTTCTACCCGAAGAAGTGATGGAGCATAGTTGCTCCTCTTCTTCACTGCAGTATAACTCTCCATAGTCTTGAAGACCCTTTCCACCACTTCTTGATGTTGTTTCTACCATCCATAGGCATTCTTTTTTTTTGCCTTTAATATCTCTTTATATCTTTTCCTCATGCCCTTTTAATTTATCATATTTGTTTTGAAAATGTATTTAAACTCTGGATTCAAATTAAAACAAATCATCTGCTTGTTTTATAGCCTTATCAAGGAAAACAAATGCTTTAGAAATCAACTCAGTGAATGCATTTAATTTCATTTGTTAGCTCGGTTGGCTTAATTACAATGTCTCTTTATTGGCACAGATACTCTAATCACATGAGGTATAATATATTTTGCTATTCCAAGAAAGATAAACTTTCAAAAGGAGACTATAAAATAGTCTTGGATTCAACACAATTTATGCAAAGTTAGTAGGAAATCCTATAAAATGTATGCAATGTCATATAAAGAAAGCAGCAACTATGTAAACAGTTTGGGAATTTTACTTTATTTGCCCAGCCACCAGAAAGAATTATTATGAATGGGAAAATTTGCAGAAAGAATCAACCAAGATACAAACACTAATTTAATAGGAAAGTGGTGAAAATTGTCTGCAAAGATTCTCTTCTCAGCAAGCAGTGGTGGCTAAGGAGAAGTTTCCTATCACTGCCACTTGGAGACTTTTGAAGGGTAATTATAAGTAATTCCTTCTTTAAAATTTTATGGAAACTCAGGATATGTGCGAAGCCTACTAGGGCAGTTTTTTCAAACAGTCTCATTTACTATGACAGTTATTCCTATAAATTGAGCCAACCCCATCCATTACAGCAGGTGTTTCTTCAGATGACTATGTTTTTAAAAAGACCGATGAGGTGCTGTACAGCAATTCACCTTAAGGTCAACTTCCATTCATCAAAAGATTATTTGATTTTTTTCCAGAATTTTCAAATAAATGATATGCTGTCCATTAGAGGGATATATTTTCTTAAATAAATTGTTTAAAATGAAACCATCATATTGCTGAAAGCTTAATCATCCCCCTTGTCCTGAAAACCTTGATGCGACGTCGCATAGGACAACTGGAAATTAACCACAATTAGAACAAATTCCAAAGGATATTTTGTTTGCCATTACACAAAATATATTTACTTGAGAAACTAGTATTGTGGAACTAAATGATAATACATCTCCTCACTTATTGATTATCTTGTTATCCGACATTTTGCATTTAGGACAATAGTAAAAAATCTGCTATTCTGGGCATTAACAAGGAGCCTAGGTGAGGGGGGTAGGAGGAGGAGAAGGGCAAGGTTAGTGAGAGGGAGCAAGGCCATGTGGGCCACCGCCGGTTAGTATTACCCAGGTTGGGCGGAGGAGCCAGACCAGGCCGGAAGCAGGAGGAGGGGGTGGCTGGGCAAAGCAGGTGGTGGAAGCCAGGGCCATAGGAGTTAGGCAAGGGCTCGGAAGTCGGTTCCTCCAAAGAGGCCTCTCTGCCACCTCTGCTGCCTCTGCTGAGCCCAGGTGGTTGGGCCTCACCTGTCCACAGGCTTGGGAGCCACCCGTCGCCGAGGCCTGTCTCCAGGGACGGTCGAATGGGAAGGTGGAGAGGTTAAGCGCTGGGGTCAGCATGGAAGCCTGGAGTGTCGCCAGGTCATAGCAGGCCCCTCCTGCTCCACATGTGGCTGGTAATGTCCAGCCGCCATCACCACCACTCCCAACCTCAACAGGCTTCGGTGGTGGGGAAGGTATGATGGGGAAGGAGGGTCCACCTGCATCCTGAGATGCGCCAAGGGCACGTGACTGGTGATTAGCGACCGGGTGATTAGTGAGAAGGGGGACACTGGCGTCAAAGACAGGGCACAGCCACACTCTCATATAATGCCAATTTCTGCATAACTACCTGGTCTTTGGAACCTAACCGTATCGGTAAGTGAGGAGTAGGTATAAATTTATTTCATGAATATTTTATTTTTCATAGAATAATTTTAGAATTTTATAAAATATTAGCAATTTAAAATTTCAGGAATTATTTGCACCCTATCACTTATCATTTTACTTGTATGTTTATAGTTGTTGTTATTAGCTGTCGTTGAGTCGCCCCTGCCTCATGGCGACCCTGTGTGTTACAGAGAATAACTGCTCCATAGTGTTTTCTTGGCTGCAATCTTTACAGAAGCAGATTGCCAGGCCTTTTCTTCTGCAGAGCACTAGGTAGGTTTGAACTGCCAATCTTTGGGTTAGCAGGCCACCGCAAACCACATGCACCGCCTGAGTAATATTCATTATATGTGGGTTACATTCATTCATTCATTCATGCATTTCTTCATTTATTAACACATTTACTAACTGGACTCTGCTGGGTCCTGGGATTACAAAAACAAACAAATTCATGGCCAAGCGGAGAAGACAAAACTCATCTCATATCCCCTCCTTTCTGATGGTCATTAACAAATAATCCAGGTACCTTAGCCTTATAAAACACCGAGCTCAGTATCCCTCTGAGTCAATCCATATTTTATTTTCTTAATAGCACATATTCTTATCTGAATTTATGTTATATATTTACATGTTTATGGGCTTGCAGCCTGTCTCTCCCTCTCAACTGTGTGCTCCATTACAGCGGATGTTTGTTTGGCTCACCACTATTTACTCAGAGCCTAGAACAGTGCCTGGCATACAGGATAATTTTTTTAAGTGAACCTTTACAATACTATGAGAACAATTCTTAAGTATATGTGTATACCAAGATTCTAGGATGCACAACTCCAGGAAGGTATCACTCATAGAGACTATGATGAGATGTCCATGTGAATAATATACCCTGAAGGTATGTTGTTAGGTGCCATCGAGTCAGTTCTGACTCATAGTGACCCCATGTACAACAGAAGGAAACCCTGCCCAGTCCTGCGCCATTCTCACAACTGTTGCTATGCTTGAGCCTGTCATTGCAGCCACTGTGCCAATCCATCTCATTGAGGGTCTTCCTCTCTTTCACTGACCCCCTACTTTACCAAGAATGATGTCCTTTTCCAGGGACTGGTCCCTCCTAATAACATGAACAAAGTATGTGAGACAAAGTCTCACCATCCTCCCATCTAAGGAGCATTCTGGCTGTACTTCTTCCAAGGCAGATTTGTTCCTTCTTCTGGCAGTCCATGGTGTATTCAGTATCCTTTGTCAACACCGTAATTCCAAGGCATGAATTCTTCTTTGATCTTCCTTATTCATTGTCCAGTTACAAATGTATATAGTCTATGGTCCTGCTTGTAGCAGCCATAGGTACACGTTTTGAAAGCAGAAAGGAAGTAAATATTAGGGAAAAAGATTCACAAAAGAGAAGACAGTAGAATCTATACAAACATAACTCTAAAAATAGAAGATAGGTGGA